GCAGTCAGCAACGCCACCAGGGCTCCTTGAGTCTCTGCCACGGGAGGCAAGAGTTCTATTTGTTGCTGTTGTTTGCATTTGAGTCGATGTCAGCTTATATAATGATAATTGTTTATCGTATACATCATGTCACTTATTCTACGTAGTAAGTCTATAAACAAAGGTATTCTATCTCCCCATTTTATAGCTAACACAGCAGCAGAGGGGACGCCCCGTTGAAACAGACGGAATCTTGCCCTCCCTCACACGTATTGAAGAATATATACAATGTTCAAGTAAATCCTTAAATATGCAATGTCACTTATTCTCGAAAACAGACTGCTACTGGTGCTCAAGGGCCAATCCCACTTCCCCAAACCAAGACGCCACGTAACCGTGGCAACGGGTGGTGCCGCCAATAGTAAAGATGGCGCCGGAGAGCGCTCGCATTCCACGTACTTCCATCACCCACCGTGCGGCGGGGGTGGGGTGGGGTGTCGGGGTCGGTTTGCCAGGAGTTAATATGGCGCCCACGGCTACACCCGTTCCCCCCCACCCCACTTCATCAGCGACCTGGCCACCCCGACGACAGCTCCGAGAAGGAGCTGGATCTCCTTTACCCGCTCTGGTGGCCACGACTCCGGGAGCGCCTCGAGCCCGGCGGCGCCCTCACGGAGCCCGCCTTACTCCGTAACCAGGGGCGCGCCACTTCCGCTGACGTCATGACGGCGACACGTGGACCCAAGATGGCGGCGGCGATGGTGAGTGAAGGAGACTTCGGGAGCCGGAGCAGGAGCGAGGCCCTCGGGGGGGATCCCAGGATCTTCCGGCTCCCTGCGCCTGGTCCCGAGCCGCCTCCGGGACCCCGATATCGTGCCTGCGGGCCGCCCCTGACTGGGCTGTCTCCCCCAGACGCCCGTCCCCGGGCTTGGTCTCTCTTCCCGTACTCCGGCGAGCCAAGGCCCCGAGTTTGGGGGGAGGCGCCGGGCTGGAGCCCCCACCGTCCCGGCCGGGCCTCATTCCTGCTTTCGACCCCGCCCCCTGTGAGCCCCGTTTCCCAGTCCTCCCCTCCCAGCGCCGACCCGTCCGGAGTCTCCCACTTCGGCCACCTCCGCGCCTCCCCGGCACGTTCACGTCTAGCTTGCCCCTCACCTCCGCCTCCCCGCCACTCCGCGAATGCGACCTCGCGCCTCAGGCCCCGGGCGACTGGGAGCCTTGCGGAGCCCCGCACCCCTCCTGACTTCCGCTGCCGCAGACAGCATGCCCCCACCCCACCCCCCATTCCTTGCCCATCCCAAGCCCATTCCTTGGGAACTCGTTTATCCTTTGGGTTCTTAAGCTGTAGCGTGCATATCTATCCCGGAGTATGTTGGGGTTCTGAGACGTGTTAAAAATGCAGCTTCCCGAATTGGGCGCTCAAGGGTTTTAATTCAGTAGTGTCCAGAATGTAATTTGGATTTGTACCTGCACGCCAATGATTTGGATCGAAATGGCGTGTGAACTGGGACTTGAAAAGCACTATTGTAGCCCCACCTGGTTGCCTCCTCTCCCCAGCCTCCTGCGAGTGGCTCAGGTGAAAGAGCAGTGCTGGGAAGGTGGATAAGAACTTGTTGGCTCCTGGAGGTGGCCCTTTAAAGGACTGACTGATCCTTCTTCCAGAAGCTGCTCTGGAGAGAGCAAAACCCAAATGGAAACAGCCCAGCGTGATTTCCTGGGTCTTGAATGTTGCTTCCTCAACAGATCATTTTTTTCCTGGAAGACTTGGAAGTGACCTTTGACCTTTGCAAAGGCCGGTTCTTGCTTACACTCGTGGGTGTTGGCTTTCTCACAAGGACAGTTCTGCCCTGTCGATATCGACTCCATGACATAAAGTTAAGGGATGGATTATTTCCCGGCAAAAGATCTCACTCTTGTTAGTGAAGGATTCCTCCCTTAGAAACCCCGAAAATCGGGTTAACAGATTTCACAGCCTTCATGACTTCTCTGGCCTTAGACCAGCCTGAGCCCCTCATGGGGCAAATCTCAAAAATGCTATGTGGAAACCCATCTTTTATTTGTATTGGACCATATTCAGAAGAAGGATGATGTAAGCACTTAACAGGAAGTCGCATTCTCCCAGCCATCAGGGGAAAGGTCATTAAAATGGTGTTTTTAGTGTTTTAGAGAACCTTGGTGGTACCATGGGTAAGCAGCTGGCTGCTGACCAAAAGGTCGGTGGTTTGAACTCACCAGGAACTCGGGATAAAGATTTGGGCAGTCTGCTCCCGTAAAACATTTACAGCCTGGGAAACCCTGTGGGGGCATGTCTCTGACTTGTAGGGTCATTATGAGTCAGAATTGACTAGGCGGCAATAGATGGGGACAGGTTTTGTTTTAGTAGTATCTTCCTGAGCAATTCCTGCCTGGTGCAGAGACTTTTAAAGAGGTGATAAGTGAGCGAAACATATTCCTGGCACCCATTTATTTAGTCAGCTATTTGAGTCCCTGCTCCATGCCAGGAACTAGCGCAGAACTCAAGGGCCCAGCCTCCCAACCTTGCTGAGCTGTGCCAGTCTGAAGAGACAGGTAGGGATCAGGTAACTTAGGGTCCAGAGAATGTCAGAGTATAAGTTGCTGTGAAGTCAGAGCGATTGGAGGAATGGAGGGACATCCCGACTCTGGATTGGGTGGTCAGAGGTCTTCTCGGAAAAGGTAACATGAGTTGAAACTTGACCAACAAGAAGGAGCCAGCATCTAAAGGCCTAGAGTAAAGTGTCCCAGGCCAAGGAAGTGGCCAGTGGAAAGGGGTTGGTTTGAGGAGCATGCCAAAGATTCTAGGGCAGTGGTTCTCAACCCGTGGGTCGCAACCCATTAAGGGGTCAAATAACCCTTTCATTGGGGTCACCTAAGAACATCGGAAAACACATATCTCCCATGGTCTTAGGAACTGAGACATTGCTCCTCTATCTGTCTCCAGGCGGGTCTACCCACATGCAGATATACCACATACAGGTACCAGGTGGGAAGATTGTTAGCCATGCTGCACCATGCTTAAGACAAAATTTCATTTATTTGTCATTAGAAAGAAATATTTCACAATATAGAATTACATATTGCTTTTGTGATTCATCGCTATGCTTTAAGGATGTTAAATTTGAAGCAATGAAAATACATCCTGCCTATCAGATATTTACATGATAATTCATCACAGTAGCAAAATGACAGTGATGAAGTAGCAGCGAAAATAATGTTATGTTTGGGGGTTCCCACCACATGAGGAACTGTATGAAAGGGTCGCAGCATGAGGAACGTTGAAAACCACTGTTCTAGGGGCTGAAGTGTGAGCAGTGGGGACGGAGAGAAGGCCACAAAGTGAAATTGGAGAGAGGCAGGCACCTTGGATTTCTTTAAGAAACACCGGTGGTTGTGACGGGTTGTAGCCCACAGTTTGCCGTCTGTGGACATCCCGAAGCAGCCTGTTGTGTTAGGCTGCCTTCCGTTCTCAGGTGGCAGAGAGACCGTGGAGGGGAGTGTGAGTTTTCTCCTGATTTCTTAACAGGCGACCCAGTGTTGGTTGGGTCACTTGGAGCTTTTGTGCTCTAAGCAGTAGCAGACTTCAAGGATCTGGATGTGGAAGCATAGGCAGTGATCCACAGAGGCCAGTTTAAAGGGTGGGCGCGGGAAACTCCGTGTTTGGTGCAATCCAAACAAGTGCAAGCAGATTTATTACCAGAGTCCGCGTAACAGGCAGAGTGGGGCCACGGGTACGCTTGGGCCGGGTCTTTGCCGAGCCCTGTTCTTTTGCGGAAGTGCCACAGCCTCAAGCACAGGCCGTTTCACAATCCTCGCCGATAGGGGCTACGAGTTTCTCAAACAAGTCATACAGCCAAAGCGGAACTGAGCTGGTGGGGTCAGTAGCCCTGGGAGGAGGCTGGAGTTTGTGTTTGTTGTTTTGTTTTGAAGCAAAGGGTTGTGGGGGCCTTTCCCGCTCTCCTTTTCCTCTGTGAATGACTTTTCCCAGGTCTGTGGGGCACAGGGCTGTTTCCCGCACAGTGAGGGAGGGAACTGAGGGCTTTTTGTTTCCCTGCCTTCCTAGTGGCTTGGGTTTAGGCTACTGCTTATAAGGCTTTAGAGGCCTGGGTTGATCTGAGTGGGTCTGAAGGAAGAGACAGGCTTATAAAGCTCACTTGATGGGCGACCTCTGTTGGTAGTAGTAGTCTACTAGAACTGACAAATGCCTGCTGAGTCGATTTGCAGACATTTCAGGAGTCTGAGTCTAGAAAAACATGATTTAGAGAATAAACTGGCTTCTTACACTGTTTTCATAATAATCCTTTTTTCTATATTGAGATGCAGTTTACTTACCATAAATTCACTCTATTAAACTGTATGTATCATTTCAGTGGTTTTTAGGATAATTGTAAGGTTATACAACCATCAGCACTATCTAATGCCAGAGCTTTCTTATCACCCCAAGAAGAACATTGGTGCAACTCCCTCAATCTAGCAGCACTCTTCCTTTCCTCTTCCCTCTTCTTCCTTCTTGGGTTCCAGTTTCCATGTATTCCTTCCTGCCTGTTTTCCAGAAAGGAATTCCATGCTCTTTAACAGTTCACGCGTTCCCCATCCAACCCCCGAACAACCACTATTCTCCTACTGTCTCTGGATTTGTCTTTGACACGCCCTATCGATGAGCTCACACACTAAGGGAGCATTTGGTGTCTGGCTTTCAAATAGCATATTTTCAAGGTTCATCCATGTGTTACCATGATTGTCATCCACGGACGAACACTTCATTCCTTTTTTGTGGCCAAATAATACTATCTTGTAAGATAGTATTCTTTTTCTGTTCATCATTTAATGGACATCTAGGTTAGTTCTACTTTGGGCTGTTACGATGATGCTGCTGGGAACACTGGGAATGCAAATGCTGCATCCGTTCATAGTATTTGGCAGTTATCTGGTTTAATACAGTCCAAAGTCGGGGAATGGGCTGAACAACCTCAAGGTTCTTTTGGGTAGATGGTGGCATTGTGAGCCAACAACCCCCCGCCCCCACTCCCGTCCTCAGTCAAATGCACAGGAACCGTTTTCAGTAGTGGAATCTGGTGCTAACCTTTGGGCAGGTGCCTGGTGGGCATCCTGGAACAGGAGGCCTCGACTCTACCTTGCCAGTCTCATGCATGGGTGTGAGAAGTTGCTGTCTCTTCGGGGCCTTAGTGTGGGTGGGCATCAGCAGTGAGACTGGAGTTCGAGTCAGGAGCCTGGGTTTAGCCCCAGCACTGCCACTGATGCATCGAATGGCCTGAAGCAAAAGATTTTGGTTCTTTGGGTCTCCGTGTCCACATAGGGACCTGATTTCTAAATTCCGGGTTGCAAATTCTGTGGCTTAGGATGTTTGCATTCTCCATACATGTCTGTAAACTCATGTATATTGTTTTGATGGTCATTTTTTTCCTATGGGCTTTCTTGGCCGTTAATGGCTGATTGTAGTGCCCGTGTGATCTCCTGCATGCCCCCACCCCTACCCCCCTCCCGTCCTGTCCATGTCGTGCTGAAGCTGCTGTGATCTTGGAACCATGGTCCTGATAACAGGCGCTGGTTAGAGCACCTTCTCTGAGGAGTGCCCTGACATCCCCCCACCCCCACCCCCAGGAAGTATAGAGGAGTCTGAGAGAGCATTTAGTTGTCTCTTGGTTCCTCTTTTACAACTTGGACAAAAGTTTCCCTTTGATCTCGGCATTAAAGAAGCAAGGCAAAGAAGGTTGGAAAAGGTTGAGTG